TGAGCTACAGCTCCACTTCCAGCTTTTTCTGTGTGTGTGGTGCTGAGGACTGGAACCCAGGGCTTCAGGCATGCTAGGCAAGCGCTCTACCACAAAGTCCAGCTGGCTTTGAACCTGTCCTCATGTCCCGGCCTCCTGAGTAGCTAGGATTACAGGTGTGAGCCACCAGTGCCCAACTAATTTGTCAGTTCTTTTGTTACCTGTTCATTTAGGGCTATTCTAGAAAATGATTCCTGTGCCCGCGGGGAGCTGCCTGTGCTCCCGTGGTAACTGCGCGGCGCGGCGTCTCTGCGTTCCGTGCTCGCTCTGGAGATGGCGCTGGGCCGGCTCAGGGCGCGGCGCTCTGCTTCAGCCTTTTGCCTGTGGCTCTTCGCTTCCCCAGCGTGTGTGAGGAGGCTGGCTTTTCTCCCGTGTTTCTGGGGCCTTTGCTCAATCACGGAGCTGTGGGTGTGTGGTTTATTTCTCGCAACTCTGTTCTGTGTGTTGTTATGCCATTGCCGTTCTGGAACATATGTATGTATGCGCACACGCACGTATGCATGTTGTACACACTGGGTCATGAGTGTATTAGACTGAAGAGCAGAAGTATCAACAACCAGATTAACATGGAGAGTTGAAGTGGTCGCCATGGTGACCTGAGGAGCGTCAGGACACGACTGGCAGGAGGGGCATGGTGAGGGCGCAGGATCCCAGGGGGCTGGAGAGTTCAGGCTCTTAGGCCGCGGGTGTGGCGGGTCCAGTCCAGAGACAGGTGTGGCCTGCAAGGAGGAGCTGGGGCACTAGCGCCATCTGTCACTAAGGGGGAGGGGAGGGGCTTTGACCTTTAGATTAAGATTCCCAAGCCAAGCGCCAGTGGCTCACGCCTGTAATCCTAGCTAGTCGGGAGGCTGAGATCTGAGGATCTCGGTTCAAAGCCAGCCTGGGTGGGCAGGGAAGTCCGTGAGACTCTTATGTCCAAAAAACCACCAGAAAACCAGAGTGGTGGTGTGGCTTATGTGGTAGAACGCTTGCCTTGAGCTGGAGAGTACAGGAACAGCGCCCAAGCCCAGTTCAAACCCCACAACCGGCCAAAAAAAAAAATTCCCAGCTGGAAGCCGGGTGCCAGTGGCTCACGCCTGAAGTCCTACTCAGGAGGCTGCGATCAGAGGATCACGGTTCAAAGCCAGCCTGGGCAGGAAAGTCTGTGAGACTTTTTTTTGCTGGTCGTGGGGCCTGAACTCTGGGCCTGGGCCCTGTTCCTCAGCTCTTCAGCTCAAGGCTAGCGCTCTACCACTTGAGCCACAGCACCACTTGTGGCTTTTTCTGCTTATGTGGTGCTGAAGAATGGAACCCAAGGCCTTATGCATGTGAGGCAAGCGCTCTACCACTGAGCCATCTTCTCAGCCCTCTGTGAGACTCTTATCTCCAATAAACCACTAGAAAATTGGAAGTGGCACTGTGGCTCAAGTGGTAGAGCACTAGCCTTGAGCTGAAAAGCTGAGGGACAGCGCCCAGGCCCAGAGTTCAAGACAGATGACCGACAAAAAAAAAAAAAAAAGATTCGCAGCTGGAGAATTTCAGGTCAGTCGCCTGGGGGGAGGGGGAGGGGAGGGATAGGCCAAGCTTTCCAAGCCCTGAGAGCAATACTGATTCCCACCTGCGTGTGTGCGTGTGTTTGAATTATTTAAATCATGGCCTCAAACTCTCCACCCTCCTGCTCAGCCTCTGGGATGCTGGATTACAGGGATGCCCTACCATGTTTTCTTTCCATGTATGTGCACATCAGAAATTGTGACATTTCCAACTTTGTTTTTTTTTTTGTTCAAGACTGCTTTCCTATTTGGGGTGTCTTGGAATTCCATGTGGATTTTAGAATTATCTTTTTATGGGAGGGAGGGGGAGGAGTGAGGGAGGGAGGTGGGAGAGGGAAGAGATAACAGGAGAAAACAAAGGAGGAGGTAACAATGCTGGACATTACTGTAACTGTAGCCCCTCTGTACAGCATCTTTACAATAAAATTTAAGCCAAGTGCCGGTGGCTTCCATCTTAACTCTACCTTCTCTGGAGGCTGAGGATCACGGTTCAAAGCCAGCCTAGGCAGGAAAGTCCATGAGACACTTATTTCCAATAACCACAGAAAACCAGAAGTGGCGCTGTGGCTCAAGTGGTAGAGCGCTAGCTTGAGCTGAAGAGCTGAGGGACAGCGCCCAGGCCCAGCGTTCCATGACCAATGAAACACACACACTAAAAAAGACCCACAACTATTTTTTCTAACTGTGAAGAATATCATTGGTGTTTTGGTGAGGACCACATTGAACCTGTAGATTGCTTTGGAAGGTAGGGACATACTTTTTTCTTCATGGGCTTGAACTCAGGGCCTGGCGTTGTCCCTGAGCTCTTTTGCTGAGGCTAGCACTCTACTACTTTGAGCCACAGCCCCACTTCTGGCTTTTGCGTGGTTAATTGGAACTAAGGGGCTCAGGGACTTTTTCTTTTTTTTAGGTGGGCGGGGGCAGTCGTGGAGCTTGAACTCTGGGCCTGGGCGCTGTCCCTCAGCTCTTCAGCTCAAGGCTAGCGCTCTACCACTTGAGCCACAGCACCACTTTTGGCTTTTTCTGCTTATGTGGTACTAAGGAATGGAACCCAGGGCTTCAGGCATGCAAGGCAAGCGCTCTACCACTGAGCACCTTCCCAGCCCTCTCAGGGACTTTTCTGCTTGATCTGGGTTTGAACCACCATCCTCAGACCTCAGCCTTCTGAGTAGCTAGGATTTCAGATCTGAGCCACAAGTGCCTAGCTGGTGTGTACTTTTTTTTTTTTTTTTGCCATTCCTGAGGCTTGAACTCAGGGTCTGGGCACCGTCCTGGGGCTAGAATTCTGGGGCTAGGCACTGTCTGAGAGCTTTTGTGCTCAAGGCTACCACTAGAGCCACATCTCCACTTCTGGCTTTTTGCTGTTAGAGAAAAGCGTCCCACAGACTTGCCCACCCAGGCTGGCTTTGAACTGTGATTCTCACATCTCAGCCTCCTCAGTAGTTAGGATTACAAGCATGAGCCACCAGTGCCCAGCTTGTTTTTCTTAAACTATCAACATTTTTTTTTACCAGCACAACTATGTTTATTGCAGCATTATTTACCATAGCTAAGATAGGGAACCAACCCAGATGCCCTTCAGTAGATGAATGGATCAAGAAAATGTGTGTGTGTGTGTATATACATGTATATACACACACACACACACATATAAAACTATCAGCATTTTTTTGAAGAGTTGGTCTTGCTGAGGTTTAACTCTGTCTCTGCCAAGTTCACCCCTGAAGGCTCAGTGCTCTAGTGGCTGGTTTGTTTTGAGCTGGGGTCTGGATTCCAGTTGTGGACTGGGTACTTCTTGGTCTCAGCCGCTAAGTGCTGGAACTGCAGGCAGGTTTCACCAGCCGGGCTCTGGGCTCTTTTTTTTTAATAGTCGTGGGGCTTGAACTCTGGGTCTGGGCGCTGTCCCTCAGCTCTTCAGCTCAAGGCTAGTGCCCTATCACTTGAGCCACAGCGCCACTTCCTTTTCTGAGTGGTTTATTGGAGATAAGAGTCTCACGGACTTTCCTGCCTGGGCTGGCTCTGAACGGCGATCCTCAGATCTCAGCCTCCTCAGTAGCTAGGATGACAGGTGTGAGCCACTGGTGCCTGGCCATTCTGGGCTTTTGGCAGACATCCTTGTGGGTAGTGGTCACCACCATGAGGACACATGAGGACAGAAGGCTCCAGAAGGTTCCAAATGGCACTTTGGTGGTCCACCTCTTCCTGCCTCTGGGATCTCTGACTGTACTTTGTCCTTCCCAACTTGGTCTTTTCTAGTTAAGGAATAAGTGGACACCATGGCCTGCCTAAGGCGTGGCCAAGCCCCCTGTATCCGGGCAGGGTTCAGTATGACCAGCTTCCGGAGGCGCCCAAGAAACGCACGTCATCGGCTCCAGGTGCCGGGACTGGGCAGGGGTGGGTGGGGCGGAAGGTGCTGGGGACTCCTGGGAAATGTCCATCTCGCTGGCTCTTGGTTCACCTGTAAAGAACTGGGCTAAGAACTAGACCTGTGGGGCTGGGAAGGTGGCTCAGTGGTAGAGCGCTTGCCTTGCATGCATGAGGCCCTGGGTTCGATTCCTCAGCACATATACAAAAAGAAAAAAGCCAGAAGTGGGGCTGTGGCTCAGGTGGTAGAGCACTAGCCTTGAGCTGAAGAGCTGAGGGACAGCGCCCAGGCCCAGAGTTCAGGCCCCACGACTAG